GATGGCAATGATCACGATAATGATGATGATGGTGATGATCACTATGGCGATGGTGATGGTGATGATGGCAATGATCACGATAATGATGATGATGGCGATGATCACTATGGCGATGGTGATGGTGATGATGGCAATGATCACGATAATGATGATGATGATGATGGTGATGATCACTATGGCGATGGTGATGGTGATGATGGCAATGATCACAATAATAATGATGATGGTGATCATGATTGTGGTGTTGGTGATGATGGTGATGATGAAGGTGATGATGGTGATCATGATAATTATGATCATGATGGCGATGGAGATGACGATCATGATGATGGTGAAGGTAGTGATGATGTTGATAATGATGATGATCAACTTAAACGCATTTGACTTGAAATATTAACGGCTAAAAAACTGTAACTATACTTTATGTATTTAACACAAACAAAACAACCGTCTTTATATACTCACCATTTTTTTCTCCACTGACAGAATGGTGGCACATGTCAAGATATCGTGACAACTTTCAATTGCTCTTGCGTGACAGGATATTCTGGTGTGTTGTGTGACAGGGAGAGTGACCTTTGTAGGTCATGCAGTTTAGACACCCTCTGCTCTGAGTTCATTAATGCTGGCATGAGGTATGGATAAATAACTGTTCTATTCTTACTTTGGTGTACCTCACATAAGCCCTAAATTTTGTATCTCTTTGTCTCTCTTTCTAGATGTGTGTCAAGAGAATTCCAGGCCCCTGTACTTGTTGATAAGCAAAACCCGACCGTGCGAGAGATATGGGAGATTGAGAAAGAGATTGCCGACCTAGCTTATCAAAACAAAGACAAAAATAAAAACAAAATAGGTAAAAAAAGCTTGTAAAGTATATCTTGTTCCTTTTACTATTTTCTCAAATATTTATTGAATTTTTTTAGATATAGGGCGAAAACGAAGATCCGCTTCAACGTTTTACGTAGAAACACTTCAAAGCGAGGCTTATGCAGACAAAACGCTACTCCGCCTCACAATCATGGATAGCAGTAACAACTATAAACCTTTACCGGCAGAAGACGCATGCGCACTACTTGCTGGGACCAAGAGGCGTTGCGTGAATAATGAGGACTGCGCTTTGATGAATGACGCGGGGAAATCCTGCCCGGTGATTGGTGGAACCCTAAGCCACTCAGGAGGCAAGAATGTCGGAAAGCCTGGTCTGAGTAGCGGTGGAACAGCTGGGGTCGCTATTTCTGTGATCTTTGTGATTCTAGCTGTTTTGATTGGAGCTATCTTTTATTATCGTAGGAAATACCGAAGAGCAAAGGTAAGGTTTCTATTCTTCCGTGTTTAATAAAGGGATCAAAAAAGCTGTAAGACGCAATTCATTTGGATTTCAGTACATCAAATATACTCGAATTCTTTGTTTGCACTTGGCATTATAGCGCCCTCTTGGTCGAAATTAACAAAAGAATTGTCTATGAATTCTTTTGTATCCAACATGGCCGCCGTGTCTTTTGTTATTTCACTCTCTTGGTAATGATGAAAACTAGCAATATACGTATATTCTAATCCAGTGTGGTTCTACTAACAATCTTCGCTCTATTGTGTAATAACTAAAAATAATGAAAACCATTGCATGAATGACAATCAAGGTCTAACCCTAATAACTAGATAATAAGTATTGATAAGTATTATTAATAAGTATTATATCGTTTGTGAGATAAAAGATAAAAGTAATCCTTTGTGATAAAGTAAAGAATATACCTACTTAATACCTGCGTAAAAACACTGCATGCTTTGAGTTTCCTTCTACAAGCTGGTGATGAATACTTACAATGTATGCTAGTGCTATCAATCGATAATATTTCGACAATATAGCGATCTTTGAACGGTAACGTATCGACAAATAACCGATAAATGACCGACAGAAAACCGAAAAATGACCGACAGAAAACCAAAAAATGACCGATAATAAACTGATAAGTAGTTGATAATATACCAATCAATAACCGATATCTTACCGACAAATGACCGATAATATACCGAAAAATGGCCCACCGACAGTAAACCGATAACCGACACCGAAGCGATGACCGATAACGTACCGGTAAACGAAAGATAACGTCAATTTTTAACTCAATATTAAAATGAAACGATAAATGTTTTTGTTCTTTCAATGGATGTCATTGCAGTACCGAGAAGCAGTCGTGCAATATCGACTAAATTCTGCTACCATTGTAAGTAAAAACTGTGACTTAACACCTCCGTAACAATCTATGTTCGGTTATTAGATAACATATAAATCTCTTGATAAAATGAATAAATATCAACCCGTTTCCAAAATTGCTGTCTTGCGCTTTTGAAGGACTAATAAAAGGCGCGCAATTTCTTGCCTTGCACACTGCTCTTTTGTAGATAGGTGCAAAGCAATGATGCTCGTAAATGATTTTTTTGTCGTTATTTTTTTATTTTTTATTTTTATTTTTTGCTGTATTTATACTGATGCGATAATGATGGGCAATATGCGCAATATTATTGCGCAATATTATTGAGTTGCGCGTTGCGAAGCGAGCTATTTTTCCTAGTATTGCCACTGTGCGAGTAACATATTTCTCTCTACTCTTTCCCGACATCTGCTGTATTATCTCTTAAGCTCACTCGTACGTGTTTGTTTAATCAACAGCAAGACGAAAGACCTGTCGTGAATTACAATACTGGCGATCAAAACGTAGAGTTCACCAACCCTTCGTACATAAACAACGCGACTGATACAGAAGAGATGGTTCAAGATAGAATGGCTAAAGAGAACTTGGTAGGCATCAATTTGGATCCGGTATCTGTGCGGAAACGACGAAGCGACATCAAGGTAATACTGTTATATCGAGTACTTGTCTTAGGAGGGCTACATATTGGCGTGGGGGGGGGAGGTGGGGAGCTTGATTTGGAAAACATGTCGTCGTATTCAACTTTTCAACGCTGTGAAACGATTGGTTACGAGAAATAATTATAGATCTGCAAATAAATGGACTGAGACAGGGCAAGGTTGTTGTTATTAGCAACGGAGAATAACTACAAAATATTGGCCTGGGGACGTTTGCAACAATGCCTGGTGTTTGTATGAATTGTATCGCATGAGCTATATTAAAGAATTGTAGAGATGAGACAGTTTTACGGCCTTGTAATATCAAATTATCCTCTTCTCCCCCTCCCCCCACATCCCCTCCCGCTCATGATCCATGACTTGCATTTTTGTTGCTATGTATTTCATTTTGTTAACTTATCTTTTTTTTATTCAGGTGACAGAAAACGTCTTATACCTCGCGCCTAATCAAGGTGCTTCGTCCAGTCAAAGCACTGAGAATCCTTTGTACGCAGTAGCAGGGCCAGAAAGCAGGAGCCCTAAGATGGTTAACACTGAACAAAAAAAAGCAATCAATGTGAAGGGGAAAGAAGCGGTCTTGAAGCCTGGAAGGGAACCCGTTTACGAAGACTTGGACGCCGTGAAAAAAAATACGAAGAAAATGTCTGAAAATATTGAAGACTTGGACCTTGAGAAGAAGAAAATGAAGGCCCAGATGAATTCTGCTTATGGCAGAGATATGTCGCACGAGGAATGGGAACCGAAACACGACGAAGAGAAACCGAACAAGAACAGTCTTTCCGAAGACAACCGACCACGTTACGAAGACAGTCCGATTTCATTTGAACGAAAACCAAAGGAAAACCACCAGTATGAAAATGTCAATGCTCCAAAACACAAAACCCCTATATACGATAACTCACCGGTACAACCCGATAGGGATGCTGAAAAACACTTGTATGAGAACCTAAGTGTGAAACCGCGTCATGACGCCATATCCGGTTCATCAATAATCAACCCGGTATATGGACAATCGATGGAATTTGCCGAGGGTACAGGGGATCGTGCATCGGGCCTCGAGGACCCGCTATACGAGTCCATACCCGAGAAGAGGAAAAAACCGGTAGACGGGAAAGCGAAGAGGAGAAGTTACCTTCGCAGTGTTTCGTCAGAAAAAGCCGGTGGATACGAAGAGCTGGAGAAGAGTGACCAAGAAGACGAAGATGATAAAGAAGATGCGTTTAGTGCTTCCCAGGCATAAAGATGATTAACACAAGCACGCTTTACGCTTTAGAATTAGTAAAGAAGGGGAAAGAATAAGAAGATATTGAGATGACAAAGGTAGGGAGTGATGAAGGGTTAGGCAGAGGAAATATTTGCATTATTTGCAAAGCTCACTCTGAATTATTACCCACGAATTTTTAATTTTTTTAATTTTTAATTTTTAATTTTTTGCAATTTTTATCTTTGAATTCTAAAATACTCCTTACACCATATCCCTTCAACAATATACCTGTAAGTTCATTAAGTGTGTTGTGTACGGGACGATTCCACACCTGGATGATATATACGTAAAGGATTCCTGTATGCATCTCATCGGTTTGAACCCCAGGTTGGGTTATCGTAAAGAGACACAAGACACAAGTGAATAATGAACGCAGAGCGTCAAAGCATAAAAATATAACCAATATTTAAAACGCTATACCATATTACAGAGATAGAAAAAGTTATATCTCGGCGATCGCTAAAGATGTGTTTCCATATGATCACTGCGATCGCTGAAACACGCTTGTGCCATGGCAACGATCGTACCGATCAAATGAATGCCAAGCTGTATCGATTTTGTGTGGATACTTTTGTCATCCACACAAAATTTTCAATCGAGCTAGACGTAAAACAATTCGTTTTAAACAATTTTGACGCAAAAACCTATTGATGGTTTTCACGGCGGCCACGTTGGAGGAACTTAACAAAAGAATTGTCAATAAATTCTTTTGTTATATCCTCCAACATGGTCACCGTGTCTGTTGTTATTTAATTCCCTTTGGAATGGTTGACAACCATCAATTGATTGATTTTTATCATTTATGAAATTTATATAAACCACGACACGAGGGGCTGTACCCTTTCTGTTAAAAAAAACAACTATATTGTATTTCAAATCTTTTAAAAGGCTTTTAAGTTTTTAAATTTCTACTCATGCATGGGTGAGATGCGTGGTTTTTAAATGAGACGAGTCAAACCAACTAGATCCTGGAAGTAGTTTTACTCCATGTATTTTGATTATTTTAATGCATTTTACGAAACGTTTTCTTTATTGTAAAAAACTTATTTCTGATCCAAAAGAACACATAATATAAATACTACCAGAACAGATTCGCGGTTTTTTTTCAATTTCCGGAGATGTCGTTCCTCAGTTTGGCTTGCGTCACAAAACAAGGCACTCTGGGTTGATGAACCAGTAGTGTTTTTGATTGGCTAAAAGAACGAGGCAAAACCAGAAAAAAAACCGCTTTACTTGAGACCAAATGAACAAGAATCATGTAACCTTACGCTTGCGCATGCTCAATGCTATACATACACTGACAACGGTTGACAGACCATTCTTTAAGAATCATAATTACGTAGTTTATTAGTATAGTTATAATTTATATGCTTTATATTTTATGGCGTTTCTTAAAAACGAAGCAGTCTTTTTCAATTCAAATGACGTTTCGTATTTATATTACATTAACGTCTGACTGACCTATTAAATATGAATTGGCGTTGTTGAATATAGCAGTCAAACGCCTCTGTATATAGTAAGCAGCTGTATATAGTAAACAGCTGAGACCGCTGTAAAACGTCTCGCAGGCGCAATATAGTTTGCGAAAGGGTTACCATAAAATCTAAATATATGCATGATTTTAACTATATTGAAGCAGTACAGTAATTTTGTAATAAAAGTGCTGAAACATTTTCTATCGTTATAATCTTTCCATCAGGATCTCATTCTCTACCCAGATCTTCCAGCTCGTTAGTCGTTCCTCCAAAACGATTACAGAGGGGCTCTGGGTAAGAGAATGTCAGAATCCAATCTGTAAAATTTCGCTTGCGCATATCTCCGCGTTTATTGCTGCTGACCAAAAGTAAAAAGACTGCATGCTCGCTCAGATGGAAGATGTCTAGAAAACTGTAGTGTAAACGGTYGTAGAAGTCTTTAGAAGTGTGTAGAAAACTAATTGGCCGTATACCAAGGCCAAGCGACACACAAGAAGTGTGTTGTTCTAAAGATAATACTTGGCTAATATTGTTGGGATTTAAGGGATTATTTACCTCACGCGAAGGATTTATAGGTTAAGACAAGCTAAACCTCAGAATCTATTACAGATGGTATCAGGTATTTCTTGATACGATTATACTTATACAATTTATTTCACAGAGGGCAATGTTTTGACTAGTGGCAAATTTTTATATTATGTGCGTTGATAGACAAGAGCACAGAAAAGAAAGCTTTCGCTTTCTTTAATACACTAATTTTGAGTTCCCAAATAACTGCCGCGTTCCCTGATTGAATGTGACGTCAATGCAGCTCGATCTGGGGGACAAAACAAAAGAATTCCAATCTCCTGAGAATTGGAACCTATTGTTTTGTCCCACATTGAGCTGTATCCCAAAGTGCTGCAAGGGGTCGACTATTACGAACTCATTTACTATTCAGCGTCAACATTTACGAATACCAACAGTGAGGGGTAGGGAGGGGGGGGAGGTGCTAATACCGCAAATGCGCAGAGAGAAAACTCGTCAAAAACCAAGAAAAAATAATCAAAATCTTTAAAATCCACACTTCTCGATAAAACGCTAAAGCACCAAAAGAGAAAAGAAAAAAAGTGAAAAATCGTATTTCAAAAAAACCGCTTTGAAATTCCATTGACCTTTACTGAAACACATATCTTATTCACATTAAAAATATATATGCACATTTTCTTTTGAAAAGATTCGACAATCAAACAAAGCTATCAACATGGCAATAGACCCCTCTTCGACTAGTGATTCCCATTCTGGGGGATAAATCAAACGAATTCCTTCTCTTGCGGATTGACAACATTTGGGTATTAATATTTTATTTTTCATAGCCTACTTAGCTTTGGACAATAACAAAATCCTTGAACTTATCTAGAGTCCAACTCAGAAGCTGAGATTAGCTGTAGTTGAGGCGACCTTATAAAATGTGGGAAAAAAAAAACAAACAGATAACGGCTGCTCAGCTCGATTACCTTACTATACTGAGCAGCTATTACCTGTATTACCTGAGTCTTGGCTATAAACATTAATGTTGTAAAGCATAATAAAGATACTTGTTGTTGGACAATGCCGAAGCATGTTTCGTAAATTAAAGAATTTTACTTTCATTCAAAATTGGTATCTGTACTGTTTACAAAACCGTCCGGAAATATCTTTCTTATATTTAATTTTTCACTGTCTTGACCCCCAGGTAAGTCAGGATTTAATGCAAATGGCTCTATCTCTTTGAGAAGTACATTTTATTTCCTACTTCACAAGGAAAACAATTACTCGATTTTTCCTTTAAGGAAATATTTTAGTTGGTTATAAATGTATTTGCAATATTACTAGTTCATAGTTCAGAGTGGAGGTTTTAATTGTTAGCTCCATAACTCCGTGTGGTCAACCCAGAGTTTAGTAACTCTTCTCTCTCACCCTCAGCCTAATGAGAGTTTTGGATCCTCTAAAGGGCCGGTACTCAACTGTCTAACAACCCGACTGACGGGCATCTCACAAWATCTTTCACCACAGAAATCCGTACAACACTTGTACCCTGCACTGCACTCGTTGTCCTGGTCGCACTCGTTATCCAAATCTGCTTCCAGTGGGCATTCAGGCTGTGGGATGACTTCTGGGCACACGAACTCAGTATAAACCACTTCTTTAATTTCGTATGTTATCACATTGATGGCCGGGATCTTAAGAGGAAGGTCACAGACTCGAATCCCGCAGTAGTTCTCACAGCATTTCAACCCTGGATAGTCTAGATATATGTCTTGGCACTGTTGGTCATTTTCGCATTCGTTTGAGGTAAAATGTTGACATTCCCCTGGAGGGAATACCTCACATTCACCGGGTATGACCAAAACAAGTGATGATGTGTTTGTCGGAGGTACGGGTGGCCTGGAGGTTGGCATTGCATGGACACTGACATGGTATTCAGTGTTCAAGAGCAAGAAGGCCATTAAAAAGAGAGTCGCCTGATTCGCAATACGTGCCATATTCTCTACAAGATATAAATTAAGAAAAGAATAAAGGAACCTCGCCCATACTTTACATCCAATCATATCAAAGCCCCACAAGAATATAGATAGATGCTCCAGCTACTGGACTAGGTGAAGTCCGATTGTGCACAAACTCGCGTTTCGCAAGGCTGAGAAATAAATAAGAAGTGCATGCAGCGTAGATAATAAATCTTCAAAAACTTTTGCAACTGAAAAAACACATATCATGCGCTATTTCTTAAATCAAGGCAATGAAAAGAATATTACAAATGGAATAAAAAAGGCGTAACTTAGAATGAAAACGTTTAAGTCACGCTCAAGTCAGAGAAGAGAAGAATAAGGGGAAAGAAAAAGCCACCGTGAATGTTTAAGATAGTCTCTAACCTTTTCTCAAAATCTTTCCTTTGAAAAGCACAATAATGTACTTCAGTCTGCAGGTCAGTCTGTAGGACCGTGGGTCTCTTATTTATGTGCTCAGCTGTGGTGTAATGTATATGATATTTTGCGTCATAATAAACTTGACCGGGTTCGTCTAATACGATTAGGATTTAGACTGGTTATTGGGTCTCCCAAGTACTGTAAGGGGGATTAGAATGGAAAGCTTAAGCACATTGGCCTATATCTTCATGTATTTCATTAGTGCCATGCGGTCCACATATTCTCATCTTCACATTGGCCATTGTAATGAGTATATGATTTATCAGTTCATACCACATGTACTGTTTAATATTTCTGATTGATTTCTAACGCGCGCTAGGCGAGATCTGATTGGTCGAAAATGCTTTGTTAGATGAAAGTATCTAAAACTCTTACGTCATATTGCTTTCCCCCCCGTCGCTCTGAGTTTCAACTTTCATCTTGGATACAGCCGGAAAAAAAAAAGAGTTTTTTGCTCTTGAGAAAAGGTTAATCTCTGGCTCATTAGTTAAAAGTACGATATCTTGGACTCTTTTTATTTTTGTCGCTATGTTTCTCTTGTGCTCTCTTAAGCCCTGTTTTTTACTTAAGCCTGGCTTTCACTAGCGACGGAAGCAGAAGCGGAAGCAGAAGCAGAAGCGTAAGACGTCTTATGTTCCTGTGAAAATCAAAAAACGGAGACGTAAGCAGAAGCAGAACATCGACTGAAGCATAAGCAGAAGGAACGGAAGGTTTCCTTTTTCTTATGCTTCTGCTTCTGCTTCCGTCCTTACGTCACTAGTGAAAACCAGATTCTTATGCTTCCGTCGCTAACATGCAGAAGCACAAGGTGGTAAGCCAATCAAATTCTCGTACTCAGTCCCCTGCACGGGAAACTTTCTATTGTTCCTCTTATGCTTCCGTCACATTCATTTACACTAGGACATAACGATCTTATGCTCATGCTTATGCTTCCGTCGTTTATGTCGCTAGTGAAAACCAGCCTTTACGACTCAAGCAGACGCAACTCCACTTGTGCTGCTGGTGCTGGTGCTGGTGCTGGTGCTGGTGCTGGTGCTGGTGCTGGTGCTGGTGCTGGTGCTGGTGCTGGTGCTGGTGCTGGTGCTGGTGCTG